ACNAAGAAGTTCGCCAGCGACGAGTGCTGCAAGACCTGCACCAAGTACGAGGACGAGGGCTGGGAGTCGGAAACGACGACGACGCCCCCGCCGACGACGACGACGACGACCCCGCCGCCGCCCGACGACCCCACGGGCGAGTTCACCGAGGACACGGGCGAGTTCGTGTTCGCCGCGGACGACGACGGCATGGAGATCGCGGGCGAGGACTGGGAGTCGGGCACGAACCGGCCGTGCGACGAGTACGAGCCGCCGTGCGGCGACTACCGGGGCCTCAAGAGCGACTGGCGCCTCATGGGCGAGACCCTGGACGGCGGCGAGGCCGCCCTCGAGATGGGCGAGTCCGTCGCGATCTCCGGCAACGGCGTCACGATGGTCGCCGGCGGCTCGGCCTCCGGCGTCGGCCGCGCGATCATCTACGGGTACGCGGGCTGCTGCGGCGAGATGGCGTGGACCAAGGACTTCGAGGTCACGGGCTACACGGACCACACGGGCGCCTTCGTCGCCTTCGCGGCCGGCGCGGAGGTCGGCAAGGCCGTCGCCGCGTCCGGCGACGGCGACCGCGTCGCCGTCGGCGTGCCCGGCTTCGACGGCGCGCGCGGCATGGTCGTCGTCTTCCAGAAGCGCGCGGGCGCCTGGTCCCAGATGGGCAACGTCCTCCAGGGCTACCTCCGGGAGCCCGGCGACCGCTACGGCGACGCGCTCGCGATGACGCGCGACGGCGCGGGCGTCGTCGCGTCCGCCCCCTCCGAGTCGGGCTTCGACATCGACGGCGCCTACACGGCGGACCTCGGCGCCGTCTACCTCTACAAGTACGAGTACGGCGCCTGGAACCTGCGGGGCAGCCCCGTGCACGGCGACTACGTCGGCGAGCAGTTCGGCAAGGCCGTCGACGTGTCCGATAAAGCGGACGTCATCGCCGTGTCCGCGCCCAAGGCCCCCGTGGGCGACGACGCCGAGGCCGGCGAGGTGCGCGTCTTCGAGCTCCACCGCCGCGACGGCTGGAAGCACATGGGCACGAACCTCTTCCTCGTCGAGAAGGAAGAGTCCAAGGTCCAGGCCGACGACGCCGAGTTCGGCTACTCGCTCTCGCTGAGCGGCCAGGGCGAGCGCATCGCCATCGGCGCGCCGGGCCAGCGCTTCGGCCGGGGCCGCGTCCACACCTACGCCTGGACGCGCAACGAGAACATCGGCGTCGGCGCGTGGGTCAAGTACCCCGTCGAGGCCGACGGCTCGCCCAAGGCCTCCGCGCTCTTCGGCGAGTGCGGCACGCGCGACGAGAACGGCGCCTGCGCCTTCGCGGACCGCCTCGGCTCCAAGGTCAAGCTCTCGTCGAGCGGCGAGAACCTCGTCGTGTCCTCGCCGACCGCGGGCCAGCGCATCGCGTGCAACGACACGACCGCGACCGCCGCCGAGCTCGCGGCGCACGCGGCCGTCTGCGTCGAGCGGGGCTGGTTCCCCCGGGAGAACATGGGCATGGTCAAGGCCTACCGCTGGGCCCAGGGCCGCAACGACTGGGTCGGCAACGGCGCGAAGATCTGGGGGTTGCAGGAGAACGCGTACTTCGGCGAGTCGCTCGACTTCACGGACGACGCGAACATCGTCGCCATCGGCGCGCCCTTTGCGTCGACGGAAGGCGCCGCCGACGCGGGCCGCGTCGAGATCTGGCGCGACCACTGGATGTGCGGGCCGCCGGGGCCCATGCGCTGCGACCAGACCTGCGACGCGACCTGCGACTTCGCGGAAATCGTCGAGTGAGGCGCCGAAAGCAAGATACCCCCCTCTCCCTACTCCCTCCCCCTCCTCTCTGGGCGTGATAAGCGACGCTGCCCACTACTCGTAGTAGCTCTCGGATGAGTTAGGCTTAGAGGGGGTCGGTGGTTACGCGATGTTGGGCGACAACGCGAGCGTACGTGCCGCGAGCTGAGGGGACTCGCTCCTTCTTGGGAAATTTGTGGCTTTATCGCTTTCCACCAATGAATGGATACTCGTCAAAGCGCCATCCCATTGTCAATTCCTTTTCCTTGCAACAACGGCAGTATCGATTTGTAGGATTGTTTTTTCCTTTGAAGGCAGCGAATTGTCCGCAATTCGTGCAAACGTAAATGGATACGTTTTTCCCGCAGTCGCAAGTCCAGTAACTGTCTTTGTGATTGAAAGAACGTTTCCCCCTAGAAACGAAGCATTGCCATGACGAACAATGCGGACACTTGATTTCATGATCGCAATCGACCCAGGAAGGAATGACGTAAAGACGACCGTCACAAGTACTCTGATTGTAAAACTTCTTGCCCATGTCAACTCGTGAAGCTAGGATTCGGACGTTTGAGTCGTCGCCTACAGAAACGATCGGGTGAGCCGAAAGCCGATCTCGCTCGCGCGCCGGCCCGCGGGATGCACCGGCGGGCGACCGGGACGGCGGTGATCGCGCGTCGCTCAAGGCTCGATGTAGAGGCCTCGGGTCGCGGATCGCACCAACTCGCACGGGCTCAGGCTGAAGTTTGGCGGTCCTCTCATCGATCGGCCCGCTCTCCTCGGAGCCGACGGTCGGAGGCGGGAGCGAGATGAGGGCCAAGAGGGCGCGGGGGGGGAGGCGCGGAGGAGAGAGCGAGAAATTTCGAGACGCGGCCGCGTGCGTGCGGGTGAGTTGAATCGTAGATGATGAGCAGTAGATGATGAGCAGTGGGAACGCTCTCGTGTCGCCCCTTCGTGGCCGTGACCGCGTCTGGAAGGCGAGGCCGGCGGAGGCGAGACGCGAACGAAGCGAGCAGAAGTAGGCGTGAGCGAGATGCGAGTGGACACTGGCTGGAACCTGTGGTTTGTCTTCGCTACGGCGCAATAAGCGCCGATTGCCGCGCCCATTGCGCCCGGTTTTCCGAGCGAGGCCCCGGCCCGGGTGTCCATGCGGCCAAGCCGTCCTCGCCCGAACCTGGACGCACGCGTGAGCTTCGCCCCTCCACACAACCCGAAACACCCTTAGACCATCACCGCTTCCGGGCCAGGAACCGCGCCTTGGCGGCCGCGAGCGCGGACGCGTCGGCCTTGGGCGGCGCGGCCTTCTCCTCGGGGGCCTTGCGCTTCTCCGGCCGGCGGCCCGGCGCCGCGGGCTTCGCCGGCGCCGCCTCGACGGGCTTCGGCGGCCGGCCGCAGAGGGCCTCGGGCGTCGTCGTGTCGACGCGCGTCCGGCACGCGTCGAGCGTCGCGCGGTCGACCATGACGACGTTCTTCGCGAAGGACCCGCGCGAGTTGCGGGAGACGCGCAGCTCGAAGAAGCAGATCGTGTCCGGGGGCCGCGCGAAGGCGGACGTCGTCGTCGCGTCGAGGCGCACGAGGGCCACGTGGGGCGCCGCGGGCTTGCCCGCGCGCGCGGCCTCGCGCGCCTCGTACGCGGTGCCCGCGCAGGGCAGGAGCAGGTAGGCGTCGTTGAGCGTGCGCTCCGCCGCGTTCAAGCACAGACCGGCGCAGAGGGCGTCGCAGGTCTCCGCGAGGTCGACCCGGCCGCCGCCGGAGGGCGCCTCGGGCGCGACGCGGCGGAGCTCGTCGTCGAGCTGGTCGCGGGCCTTCTTCGCGAACTGCAGCGCCCTATACCGCAGCGAGTGGGCCTTGGCGAAGCCCAGGCCGTCGGCGCCGCGGCTCAGCGCCTTCTCGTACTCCGTGAAGACGCGCAGCAGCGAGATGAGGTCGCCGCGCGGGTGGCGGAATTTCGCGTGCTTGTCGAAGGCCTCGTCGCGGAGCTCGTCGGCCGCGTCGCGGCGCTTCGACGGGCCGCCCCGCAGGTCCCGCCGGTCGCCGCCGACGAACCAGACGTCCTCCGCGGAGAGCATGGCCGCGATGGCGAGCACCGACTCCCGCGTCGTCGGCAGCGCGCGCCGCGACCCCTTGCGAAAGCCGACGGATTCCAATAAAGCCCGGCCGAGCGGCGGCTCGAGCGCGAGCCGCGACATGGCGAACCCCACGTCCGTGAGCCGGCCCTTGTTCGCCGCGTCCAGGGCGCCCAGCGCGTGGAGCTCGAGCAACGCGCAGGCGAGCTGCGTCTCGTCCGGCGCGTCGAGGAAGTCGAAGTCGAGCACGTCGTCGACGTGCAACGACTTGAGCGCGAGCGCCACGGAGCACATGGACGACCGGCGGATCTCGGGGATGGTCTCCGGCGCCATGTTCGCGAAGCACTGCTTGCTGTAGAGGCGGTAGCACTGGCCCGACGTCGTGCGGCCCGCGCGGCCCGCGCGCTGCTCCGCGGAGACCTTGCTAATGGGCACGACGACGAGCGACGCGACCGCGCGGCTCGGGTCGTAGCCCTTCATCTTCACGTAGCCCGTGTCGACGACGTACTTGACGCCGGGGACCGTCAGCGACGTCTCGGCGATGTTCGTCGCGACGACGACCTTGCGGATCTCGGCGTCGTCGACGTCGCCGAAGACGCGGTTCGCGACGTCGGCCGGCAGCGCGCCGTAGAGCGGCAGCGCCAGGAGCCGCGGCCCCGCCAGTTCGCCGTGGCGCTGCGCCTCGTCCTCGATCTGCGCCGCCTCGGTCCTCAAGTTCGCGCAGGCCTCCTCGATCTCGTCCTGGCCCGTGAGGAAGACGAGCACGTGGCCCGGCGGCTGCGACCGATGGAGCTGCAGCGCGACGTCGACCGCGGCGCCGACGTAGGACCGCGACGCGGGGCCGAAGCGCGTCATGACCTGGGTCTGCTTGCTGTGGTAGACGTCCACGGGGTGCGTGCGCCCGGGCACGCGGAGCACGGGGCAGCCGTCGAAGTATTTCGCGAATTTCTCCGCGTCGAGCGTCGCGGACGCGACGACGCAGCGCAGGCGGTCGCCCGGTGCGCCGCGCCGCCGCTCGACGGCGCGCTTCACGAGGCCGAAGAGCACGTCCGTGTCGACGCTCCGCTCGTGCGCCTCGTCGAGCATGACCGTGCGATATTTTTGCAGCGACCCGTCGCCGACGCACTCGCGGACGAGCACGCCGTCCGTCATGAACGTGAGGCGGCTCCCCGTCGCCGCGCCGACGTTGCTGTCGAAGCGCACCTTGTAGCCCACGTCCGACCCGCCGAGGTCGCAGCCCCGCTCCTCGGCGACCCGCTGCGACACGGACGTCGCCGCGACGCGCCGCGGCTGCGTGATCGCGACGGGCGCGAAGGCGTCGTAGGCGCCGAGCGGCGCGGCGTCGCCGGGGGCCGCGGCCTCGGCCGCGAGCCGCGCCTCGTCGGCCGCGAGCAGGTAGGCCGGCACCTGCGTCGTCTTGCCGGAGCCCGTGTCGCCGACGACGACGAGGAAGTCGTGCTTCACGAGCAGGCGCACGATGTCGTCGCGCGCCTGGGCGATGGGCAGCTCGTCGGGTGTCGTTGAGGTGGCGACGATGGCGTCCATGTTGTGTTGCGTTGTGTTGCGCTGCGCGCGTCGCTCTCAGTCCTGATCAGCCACTGCGGCCCATGCTCCTCGAAGGCGCCTCTCTCGACCCCCGGCCAAGCCTGCTGCCGGCCGCCGCGCGCTGGAGAGACGCGCGGACGACGTCTAAGAAACATACGTGGGCTCCGCTCTCTTACTTCTTCTTCTTGCCCGACACGTTCAGGCCCTCGCCGAGGAGCGCGGAGAGGTCCTCCTCCTTCTTCTTGCCCTTCTTGCCCGGGCCGTCGACGGTGCCCGGCTTGCCCGGGTTCTTCTTGCCGCCGTCGCCGCCGGCGGCCTTGTCCGCCGCCTTCTTCGCCTTCTTCTCCTCCATGGCCTTCTTATCTGCGGGGGCGCGGCGCGCGCTCGGGCGCGGCTCCGCGGCGCGACGCGCGCTCGGACGCGGCGACGCTCTCTCGACGCTCCCTCGGACGCGGCGCGCGCGCCTCTCTCGTTGCGCTGCTGCGGCGTGAGGCCGTCGTCGTTGCCGCCGCCGGCGTGCTTCGCAGTGCGCGCGGCCGCACCTGCGATCGCGCGCCGTCAGAGTCGTCGGTTCGCAGGCCAAGGCGGCGTCGAGGCGCTGGGTGCCGCGCGGGCTCTGTCGATCTCGCGCTGGTTGCCGCGCGTCATGGCTGATCAGTTGAAATTTGCGTCCGACGCAAAGCCGCGCACTCGACTTGGAGGATGACTCCTTCGCTATCGTCGTCGATGTCCTCGCCGCAACCTTTGCGGCCGGCTCATGCAAAAAACCGGCTCGCGCCCGCTTCGGCGCTTCGGCCGCCGACGCCCCGCGGCGCGTCCTCGTGCTCTCCGCCACCGCCGCGGCCCGCCCTAAAAATTGGTAGGCACCCGGAGACCCTTTCGACGAAGCTCCCCTGCAAGTCTCGCACGCGACG